GCATCTGCAGTTGAAATGTTGCCCATTGCACTACTGGACTTTGTTCAATGTATCTGTAGAACAAGAAGAGCATCTTCAGATTATTAACTATAAAACTTACACAATACAGTATTTGTTATATATTTTTAATACATTGCCTTTTCCAGAAGCATACCAAAACAATATCTTAGTAATCCAATCTTCCAGGATTGTTCAAAAATAATCCTAGTATTAGATGAATACTAGATGAACACAATCTATGTATATTTTAAAAAGTAGGTTCCTCTGAGTTTTACTCAACTTCTGATAACATTGTGGACACATCCATGCGGTTTTCTTGCCAACAAGATGGAAGTGGCTTGGCACTGCCTTCCTCCATATTTTTTTCAGTTTACAACCCTTTAGCCTATTATAAAAATGAAGCCTTTAGCCACGGTTTCTAAGGCTAAAGAAAAGCAGTGGTGATCTGAACTGCATGGCATATGGTTTGCTGCTAGGCTGTTTGCAAGGTGCATTTCCTTCCCTGCTGAGACATGCAACCTATAGTGTGGGTATACACACACACACAAATACATATAGAGCCAGTTTGGTGCAGTGGTGAAGGCACCAGGCTAGAAACCAGGAAATTGTGAGTTCTAGTCCTGCCTTAGGCACAAAGCCAACCGGATGACCTTGAGCCAGTCACTCTGTCTCAGTCATAGGAAGGAGGCAACAGCAAACCACTTCCGAAAAATCTTGCTGAGAAAACTACAGGGACTTGTCCAGGTAGCCACCAGAAGTCAACACTGACTTGAAGGCACAAGAAAACAAAAATGAAAACACACACATAAGCAGATACGTATTATATCTGTGCATGCCCACAAGACAAAGGCGGGGCTTTCCAAATTGACATTTTTTAAAAAATCTATTCTTGCCTTTACATTCCTCCTTTCTCTGAGAGCTTGAGACAGCCAATATCAGGCAGTATTTGATCACTCCTTTGCCAATGAACCCATTTTTATTCAATTGATTGATTATGTGCCATCAAGTCGTTTTTGACTTCTAGCAACTACAAAGATAGATTTTCTCCATGGCAATCTGTCCCTAACCTGATCTTTCAGGCCTCCCAACAGCGCACCCATCACCACTGTAAATGAATCCATCCACCTTGCTGGTCGCCCTCTTCTTTTCTTTCCTTCCATCTTTCCCAGCATTAGAGCAAGGCATCAGCTATGATGTGCTATGCCTGACTTCATCTGATGCACACAGTGGCTAGACTGATGTAGGATTTAAACTGGGGGAGGGGGGCAAGGGGTACAAGCAGACCCCTCACTTCATCCCCATTTAAATCCTACATGTCTTTTTTTTTTTTTTTGGTGCCTTAGATTCAGTGTTGACTCCTGGCGACTGCCTGGACAAGTCCCTGCAGTTTTCTTGGCAAGATTTCAGAAGTGGTTTGCCGTGGCCTTCTTCCTAGGGCTGAGAGAGAGTGGCTGGCCCAAGGTCACCCAGCTGGCCTCCTGCCTAAGGCTTTCCAACCTAGGCGACTTCCAGCATTTTAAGTCCACACCCCGAGAAACGGCCAAGGTTGGTCTCTCGCCGCTCTGCGCCTCAGAAAAAGGGAGCTGCAGCTGACCAAAACTGACGCCTTTGAATACAGGAGGGCTGGTCAGAACAGGGGGGGGGCAGGCTCCGTCTGACCTTTTCCCCCACAGACCACCGCAGCCCTCCTCCTGCAAGGGGAGCAACCGCGAGGACCCATCATCCTTCAGCTCCAGGCTGGCACCCGATCCTCGCCCAACCCTCTAATGAGTCCCGGCTTCCCTCGCGCTTTCCAGGGGCCGTCCCGGGAACTGAGCCGCGGTCGCTTTACCTTTTCCCGCGCAAAGTCAATCCGCAGAGATGCGCGACGGCGGCGGCCCCTTTGCAGAACCGCCGCCGGCCTGGCGCCCCCGCTTCTGGCTTGTCCTGCGAGAGGAACGGGGCGCGGGAGGAGCCCAGGAAGGCGGGCGAAGGCGAGAGAAGGAGCGACCCGGCGGCGGGCCCCGAGGCGTCCATGGCCCCAGACCTACGGCGTCGTTCGGAGCCGCCCCGGGCGGGTGGCTTCATGCCTGGTCGAAAGAGGGGAGGACGAGGGAGTTGCCCTCTTCTTTCTCTTCTCGCCGGGAACCGCAAACAAGAGCCTAAAGACGGGCACTCAAGCGGGGAATGTCGGTTTACTCCCCATGGAAACTCGGAGGCCCTTCTGAGGAAGGGCTGGGTGGACGGTCGAGGCTGCGCTTTCCCTTCCTGCTAGGCCGAGGAAATTTGTTGGATTTCTGCTCGTCGGCGGGCCTAAAGGATGACTGGGGCTGCCTGAGCTGGAGGTCGAGATTCTGCTCCCCGTTTTGCAGGCAAAAGCTGGCTGGAGATTGGAATTGGAGGCGACACCAGCAAGGGGATTTTTCCAGCTATTAATCCTGTCTGGGAGGTCCTCAGGGTATGGTTAGAAAAGTCAAGATGGCGGCCATGAGGGTGCAATCGAACCTCCATCTGTGGGTTGCCATGCTGCGTGTCTTAAAAGCGAAGGAAACACTGGCTGTGGTGTTAGTGTGCGACACCTAAAAACTTGGTGGAGCTTCAATCACACCATTGTGGCTGCCATCTTGACTTTTTTTTACCATGCCCTGCAGACACACCTGGATGTGCCCAAGAGAAAGGAAAGAGGAAGAGCTGTCTTGAGCCTAGGTAGCTCTTAGCAGAGTAGCTTGTTGGGAAGGGGAGGGGGTGTCAAGTGGCCAACCTAAGCTAAAAAGTAACTTTTTCTCAAGTTTGCAGCCCACTGATGGCTTAACTGGTTTTCCTGCATTTTCAGTGGGTTAGACTATGTGATCCTTGTAGTCCCTTCCAACCTTTTGATTTCAAGTATCTCCTTTTGGGTGATCACTGAAAACAGTATAGAGTTCTGCCATTTTGAGGGAAGCCCTATAGTGTAAATCCTCAAATAGACATGTCAGAGTTAAAAAAACATGATACTCTCCAAACTCTCATCAAAACCCATCCCAAAACCCATCAAAACCCATGCATGATGTGACCCATGCTCTATTCTTTATTGTCCTCCTCTCCATGGACTAAGTTATTGTTCCCACCATATTAATTTTAACAAAGTGAGTTGGGAGTTAATCTTACAGTTGGGGCATTATGTATAATTTACATACCTCTTTTTAATCTTGAAGTTTCATTGGGTTAGGTAAGCACATATGTTGAGAGAGTGATAAAGTAAGCATGCAAAGATGAGACAGAATCAGAAAAACACATTCAGGTATTTGTTCTTCATACTGTTCCAGGTGTGAATTTCCAGTGCTGTGCAGAAGAATCTTAAGGGAGTTTTTGTGCTTCTGCTTTGCATAATAGTTGAGGGTTGAAGATTGGGCTCATACAACACATCTACCCATACATAATGGACTCCTCAATTGATCTAATTATGTATCTGGGTTAACACAATAAGCTGAACCAAAAACTAATCATACAGATGATTAGTTGCACAGTACTCTCAATGAAATTCTGGTTGGTCAGTTTCAAACAATGTGTATTCAAAAATAGCCAGAGAGTCTTATTTTTAAGCCAAATTTTATTAATTGTCAATCATCTGCAACAGTATTTCAAAAAGCTAACTAAGCTGCATTTAACTCGACTACAGGGTGCTTATTCTGTAATACCTATTTGGAATTTCAGGCTTGGCTGTAAGCTTATGCATTCTTACAAGGGAATAAGATCCACTGAACTCACTGAGAGTTATTCCCATATAGACATGGATAAGAGTGTGTTGTTATACTGCCTTTGAATTTATTGTACACTGGAAAATGGAACAGAGCTAAGTTGTCTATTTTAGCTAACATACACTTCATATGGTACAGAAAATACAAAGTTGATTTAAACATCAGTTGTACAAATGGGCTTTAATGGCCTTATGCTACTAATAGTCTTTGGAAGATGAGGGGAAGGTAAGAAAAAAATTCAGTTAATGAGCATCAAGATGAATTAAATATATTAACAATTGATATTTAATGACATATTAAATATCAAAGAGATATGGGGATTCTTTTTCCAGTTCTTTCTTGGCTGGCTGAGAGTAGTTTACTAATCTAATACAGTACTTTTTCATCCTTTTTCCCCTTTCACCCCCTTAGACAAATGTATTAAATAAAAACAGTTTAGAGATAAGTAAAATAGAAAAGTAATGAGGGTTGCATAGAATGAGTAAAGGTAGAATGAGTAAAGGGTTGCATAGAATGAGTAAAGTCTTTGCAGAGGGATTAGTACCAAACTCTAGATGAGGTTGAAGGAGATGAATTATTGCAAATGGAAATTAAAATACTGATATATTACTCTTATAAAGTACTAGCAGGGAAAGGGTTACTTTCCACAGTACTCTAACCCGGATGATAGAGTTTTTTTCCTGGGTGCGTAGATGTAATATCAAAGCTTTTTTTTCTGAACTGATAGGAGGGTTTGGAGCCAGAACTGGCTGGCTTTCCTTTTCTTCTGAAATGATGCACGTACACTTGTGGGAAAAGTTAAGTGTTCAGGAAAAGCAGCAGTTCTGCAGATGAGGGCGGGTGAGTAGATGTAACTTCTGCTCCTGTCTCTTCTTTTGCCAATGGTCTTATTCTAAATGGAAGATCATCTCAATCAATACCTCCAGGCAGCTGTTAACTCTGTGGGATAATGGAAGCAAAACAAGTTAGTGCGAATGGGGCTTTTGTGTTGCTTTGGTATTAACAATGCTTCTGTCCCATGATAGCCAAGGGGCTGCTAAGTCCCACAGGAGTGGATATTTCTTTTCATCAACAAACTATGGCAGAGCAGAGGATCTTTTGATGTACTGGACATTGAATGGGGCTGCTGCTACTGCTACTTCTCTAGCCAGCAAGCTGGACAATTGGAACCTGGTAGCCTGATGGTTCGGTCACAGAATTAACCCTCTAATCTCTGGAGCAAGCCACGGGAGAAGCAGCAAAAGGAGTGGAAACAGAACAGCCCTAGTGATATAAACTAAGGCAATGTCATCACTGGTGAAGGAGGATCTCAACAAGAAGCTATTCAGATCTCTAGGGCAAAACTTGTATGGGTTCATTGAAGTTGAGTGTTCAGGCCAAGATCGGTTTTACCTCTGTGCTTCAGGTAAATGGGGTGGGGGCATAAGGAAAATTAACTATCTCTGGTTGCCATCTATCCATTATACTGTAAGGGTGTAAGTTGGAAGCCAGGAATTACTGATTCAAAATTCATTCTAGCCATTAACTAACTTGGTGTTGTGGGAGAAATATTCTTTTAGCCTCAGTCCCTCTATCTGCTAGGGAGGAAGTATGCTAATGCTACATACACTGTATTATTATTGCAGTAATTAGTGCATGTGAAATGCTTTAAATATACTCAATGCTTTGAATGTACTAAAGTACTTTTTAAATGTTAAGTATTATAATCTGACAGGATCTACATCTGATAGCTGTATTTATTAGGATTTTCAATAAATGTCATAGCATACTAAAATAAGACAGTAAACCTAAATGCATCTACTTAGAATTAAGATCTATTGAAATCAATATAGCTTCAAAGTAACTGACTGGGATTAGGCTTTTAATGTGTTCAGGATTAAAAGGCTAATCAACTGCACAAGCATGAATTTTAAATATTAATAATCTAGATTCATAGTACAATCCCTTTCATAGTATTCAGACAGCCGCTCCCCCCCCCCCCCAAATTTGGTGGGATTGATTCTCAGTAAATGTTTTAGATTTACCAGTCTACTCTGTAAATTATTGCTAATATCTTTGGATTATAGAGATACTGCGCTTGACAAGCTGAATCTTGTCAAATGCTGACTGAAATAGTAAACATCCTTCTCTGAAAGTAATTCACATTTAAGTAATTTTTAGATCAATATATTTAGGATGAATCTGCCTCTGTTTGTTAAATTCCCATTTAAAAATGACCAAATTGATTATTTTCCAATCAGAGGGAAATTTATTTTTCTATAGGAAGCAGCAGAATAAATCTTTCTGAAGGGAAACAGCAAAAATATGATTAGATTTTAATAAAACACATTTGATCTGTGGCTTTCAAAAATTGTTAGTTTTGGCATTTTTCTTGTATGGTATAATAGGCCTTTTCTCTTATTTTTGCTTCTAATATAAATAAGGCTATAAGTTTGTTCTCGCATTATTTTGGACTTTAATATTTTATATCCCAATAACTGATGCGGTCACTTTTTACTTTGCCAATCTAGTATCATTCATTGGCCCATTTTGATAATTCAGCGAAGCGATACTGATGAGTAGTACTTCCATCTGTGTGAAGTATCTCATAATATCTTAGAAAAAATTACCTTTAAAAATATCTTAGCCAAGAAACATCTGCATATTTGTTTAGAAGTACTCCATTGTTTTGACTTAATGGTTTTTATTACTTTTTCAGAATATATTACCACTATTTTAAAATGGGTGCTTTATATCCTAAACTGTGTGTGTCAAGAAAATGTAGACTTACAATATCTATTCTACTGAATAACATGTTAAGTAGAGATTATTTAATTAATAAGAGGAGGCACTGATTGCAACATTTCATGTTCCTAAATATTTCTTAACGCAGGATATGCAGAGAATGTAGATACAGAAGGATACTTTTCCCTGAAGCACTGAAGGAGCAGCCTGTTATATTATTAAAAGAACTATACACAAAGGAGTACTAAAGAATTGATGCAGAGTTTGGGCCTGGAATGTTAGAGAGGATAACATCATATGATACTTCACATTTTATTTAGTGATATAAAGGACAGAATCAGATGAATGAATGGATTTCTTTTTCAAAGGATAGAATAAATATGGGGAGAAAACTCGCCATGCTATTTGTAGTTAAAGACTTGATAGGAAGTTGTTATAAATCCTGAGGAAAGTCCAGCCTAGAAAATAAGAAACTTCCTGAAGAGAACACACACACAAATATGCCTCTGTGTGTATGTGTGTGTGTGTGTGTTTTACATTTAGTATTGCTTCATGTCCTTGGTGTTCCACCCCTTTGGAGCGGGCAGGCCATGTCAAGACATGCATTGGAAAAAGGATGGTGGTCGTGTTCTCACTCTGTACCCTTCTTGGCACCCCTCCCCCTGTGGATGTCACTGCTTCATTTAAAATAAAATCTGAACAAATATTGAAAAAATCATTCTGAAATTCAGAATTTATTTCTGTCACTGAAATCCACTTTGGTATTCACTTTTCTCCCTTTGCTTCACTCAGGGGTTCATCTTCTCACCCACACTCCCATTAGCTTTAGAAGGAGCTCAGTTCCAGTCCATCTGATTGATTATTGAATTGCTCAAAGAGGACTTACATAAACTTCCACAAATTATTTTGAAAGGAATCTAAGTGATTGCTAAATTCCAATAAAAATCCATATTTGTGCCATATATCAAAAAGATTTATGGTTATATTTTTAAATAATAGTCTTTCATGCTACTTTTGAAAGTGGGAGACTAAGGTAATTAAAATTGCCCTAGGCATCTTCTGGCCTTTGCATGTGCTAGCGGTGTCAGTTTGGCTGTTATTCAGTATAATGATGTTAAATGACTTATAGCCTTGAATTTACTTGCAAGTAAATAAATAATAAATAAAAAAAAATACACCCTTAAGTCCAGCTTGACTTTTGGTTTCTGCATCCAAGCAGATTTCTTGGCAATATTACAAAAAAGGCTTGTCGTTGCCTTTGCCTGGGTTGGATGTTTTTCTGATTTCCCAGTCTAGCCTACAGCCTTAGAATTTCTAGATGATTCCCCCATAAAAATTCTGACCAGAGCTGACCTTCCTTAGATTCTAAAATCAGCCAACGTTGGCTGTGTGCTGCCTATCGCTGAGATGAATATTGCAGACATCCAAATAGGATGCCGGAGATCTTCTGTTGTGTAAGAAAATATGCAAGGCCTTTTATTTTGCATGCCTCTAGTCTGAAACAGTGAAGAACAGTCAGCACAGTTGATACTTGGATGGACCAATGGATCTGAATCAGGATAAGAACATTTCTTATGTTCCTTTTCAGGTTTATCTGATTGCCATACAGTGTTGATGCGCTCTTCATTCACTATAAAACTCGCACACGCAAACATACACATGCCACCTGGAGACAGGTGACTGGTTTCATCCTATATTTGGACTCCTCAGACATACGGAATTAGGACGAAACCTGTCATGTACAACCTCCTCGCAGGGAACACCACCACCACACGGTATTTCTGCCCATCCTACCAGGTCAGATAGCGTGGGTGTGCTCCTGGACCCTCCCTTTAAATGTTGCCAACTGGTGGGACATTGGAGATACACCTTTTCCACAGCTGCCCTGACCCTTTGGAACGGTCTCCTTTCTGAGATTTGGGGGTCCCCCACCCTATTAGCCCTCTGGAAGGCTGTGAAGACCTGGCTTTTTGCTCAGGCTTTGGGCTAGAATAGAAGTGAGCCCAGCAGATGTAAAAGGATGGAGAGTTCATGTGATGTTGCAGCGCCATTGTTGAGATACATGGTGTCATCGTGGGATTTTGGCTGTTTTATTTATCCTGTTTTCATTTAATATTATTTTGAGCCACCTAGGATTATCTTGTATAAGATAAGTGGGCATATAAATTTTCTAAATAAATGAATACACTGTAAAAATTGAGAAATACTGTATATAGTGGTGGAAATCATGTAAAATCTTGTACGCAAGTCATGACATAATGTGACAGCTGTATTATCTCTTTCTGAGAGCTTAAGGGAAGGTAGATTGTATATACCATTCAAATAGACCATATACAGATGTGTGTGTGTGTGTGTGTGTGTATCTATACAAACATACACAGAAACACTATGTACATTCAGATTGTACATGTGTAGGTTATATCAAGATTATTTGATATGCAAGGATCCCACTTTCCTTCCTTCCTCTGAGTATATACGCTACTTTGATTATAACGGACTCTGAATGGCTTACATCCCCTACTCTTTAAAGTAAAGTAAAGAATTTTATATATATATAAAAATCAAACAAGAAACAAACTACAATTCTATGTCAGGAACAATAAACAAACTTAATTCAAACAATACATTCTATGAAGAACATTTCATAGCATACTGTATCTATCAAGTTCTGCTGGAAAAGCTAGATTTTAATTTCTTTTTTAAAGAAACAGTAAAGTTGAAATCGTAGAGCTCTCAGGAGGAATGCTGTTCCAAAGAAGGGGAACAGTGCAAAACTCCTAGTCTGAGAAGGCAGAGCTGCAGGAAGTTTGGTGCCAAGCCACAGAGACTTTACAAACCAGTACCAACACTTTGAATTGTTTATCTGCTGGGGTGGGGGGAGGGTTCAAAGACTCTCTGGGTCAGTTTGGGGGGGGGGGTATAAGGAACTCCAGAGATTCCCTCACCAAATGTTTCAGCTGCGATATATCTTATTTATTGGTTTCTTACAATGTTTTTATCTTAATTGTTGTTAGCATCAAGTCATGTATTGAGAGAGGTGGCATATACATTGAATAATTACTTCCTTCTAAGGAAATGTATCCATGATAGAATTTTTTTCTGCTTTTAGTTTTTTCCAAGTTTGAGGTGATCATGGGCAGTTTTGTTCCTTTATTCCTTATTCAGCATTCTTTATTTATCTCTCAGGAGACAGGCATTGGTCTTGATCTTGACTTACATTAAGTCTTGATTTGTTCAGACGTGCTTTGTTGAACAAACCGTAGCGGCCTCATTCAAACATCACATTAAGCCACTACTTAATACAATATATGCAACTAGATAGTAAAAAATAATTAATGTAGCAAGTAAACTGTTAAAATACAATAACACCATTTCCCTAAGAATGTATTCACATAAGCAATTTATAAAAGCCCAAATCACTATTAATAGAGTTACATGAACAAAGTTCACCCAAGCTGAAATTATGAATAACAAATGCCAACATTTCCTATCAATTATTCTCTGGAATTTCTTGAACAGTACAGCCTCTGAGAGGTTATAATAAAAAGTCAAAGACCAAAAAAGTTGCAGTCATTAAGTGAACCACTGTGGGACATTAAGTGTGATGTCATGTGACCATGACATGCGACTTCCTACTGGCTTCCCCATTGACTTTGCTTGTCGGAAACTGGCTATGAAGGTCTCAAATGGTGATCACATAACTGCAGGATGCTGCAACCATCATAAATGTGTGCTGGGTGCCAAGCGCTTGAATCACAATCATGTGTCTGCAGGGACATTGCAATGACCGCAACTTTGAGGACTGGTCACAAGTCTCTATTTTCAGTGCTGTCGTAAGTTTGATTGGTCGCTGAATGAGTGGTCGGTAAGCAGGGATTACTTGGACTGTTATTGATTATTGTTTTGTATTTTTACTTTTTTAATTATTACCAATTGTTAGATCCATCTTTAAAAATGCAGATAGTTATTGCAATTGGCCTTTTTAATTTATTAGCCTCTATGTCATAATAATTCCTTTATAGGATATATTATTCTACTCTATACTACAACATTATACTCCCTGTAGGCATAATATTAATATTAAACATAGTTTATTTACAGATTTCAGTGATATAATGATTTTATATTTCTTGTTAGCTCTTTTTATTATTCTAAGTCATCACGCTATAGTTTTATCTAGACTTTACAAATTTCCACTATATTCATTGTCATGTTTAAAATTTTAAACTTATAATTTTAGTTGTATTGGGATTGTGGTTTTATAGTTTGTGATAGTGATTTTTTAAAAAGTTAATGTTTATAGTATATAGACTACACTGTTATTTCAATGAGATGGCTGTTATCCTATTTTTCAAAGCTTTGTTTTGGTGGTCAGTGCCGAAATAAAGATGACTTCATGTTGCTTATTTTCTTTAAGTCATGCTTTCTCTGATCTGCAGGTAAAGTAGGTTTTCAGAGTAATTTGTAAATATTATTTTTAAAAACCCTATATTCTAATAGATTTACAGGCTAAAAGACACAACACAAAATAAAATTGGACATTAATAATATGAGAAATTCTTCAGCAGCAGATAATTTATTGCTGCTAAACTGTATGCAGTGAGGACTACTTATCTTTAAAATTAGCAACAAACTGTACAAACACTGACCCATCGGTACATTTTTGATGCCATTAAAGAATTTGGTGTTGTGACTGCAGTCCTAGATATATTTATTTGGAAATAAATCTAACTGAGCCTGGAACTTATTTCCAAGTAAATATATTTCAAATTCAATTTTAAATTGCCCTTTTAACTTTAATTATGTACAGTTGGTATATTCTGTTTAATTATGTACATTTCGATATGGTACCCTAAGCCTTAATTAATTAGGCTAAATTAGGCTAAATAGCATGAATGCTAAAAGCAACTGCGATTGCTGAATCTCAGAAATGCTGGGCTTAACTCACTAAATGCCATCGAAGACATTTTTTGTTGATAATTTATTTTTGTATCTGTATGAAAATATATTGTGCATGTAAACTAAATGTTCATCTTGCAGTGTCAAAAGGTGAAGAAGTACAAATATCTGTGGTAAAACACTGTAGAACTGGTCTTGATGAGAACTATGAAATATCTGAAAAATGGCTTCTAGATGATTTGGAGATGATAGATGGAAAAGAGGCTGATGCTGTAAGTGCTGCATTTTATTATAAGACATACTTATTCTGTTGTTGATGATATAATAGCTAGGATGTAAAACTAATTCCCAGGGCATCATGGAATTTCAGGTTCAATATTAGATAGATTTTCAGACAATGCATATCTCCACAGGAGTGGAATGATCCAAGCCAAACACCCGTGGAATTGGATGATGTCTTGAACACACTTTGGGAAAGACTAGCTTCGTTAGTCAGTGATACAGTGGCGAAGCCTTAGAGTTCAGTCAGACTCTGAGTAAAGACCTGAGTGGTGAAATGGTTGGGATTACAGCTGAAGCAGAAGTAGAGGAATTCCCAAACTGAATGAGATCAGGCATGGATTAAGGCACATTTGAAGCCCTATTCTGTGGCAGCAGAGGCAATGTAGAATGTTTATTGTTCTGTTTCCATTGTTTTTACACAGTATACACTGGCACTGCTGAAAAAAAAATATATTTGTGGGTAAATTTGATAGGATCCATCTCAGTTTGGACTCCAGAGATAATCCGGTCACAGGGATATAATCATGGCAGCTGTTTGTCCTGTTATTTTGGATTCTTTTTTGCTTGTAAATCTTGAGGATGTATGCATGGAGAGAGGAAGACTATTATCTCCTTACCTGTGTAAAGGAGTCAGAAGCTTGTGTATTTCTTTTAAAGAGAAATAAATTTTCTTTTCAATAAATATCACAATACCAGGCTCACTTTTTCTAGGTACTTGATCTTTGAGAAATAAGGGGAAAATTACATGTGTTGCAGTTCCCATATCAACAACCTTTGCTTTAGACAGACAGCTCTTTTTCTCCTACATCTAACCATCTTCATCTATTGCTCTCTCCAGGGACCTTCTTGCAGAACCATGCACTAAACATAATTAAAGGGAACTGCACCCCTTTTCACTATACACTTGTCCCTTGCAGCTAATTCAGTTGGCTAGGATGGTACTGGTCCTATGGTTAAGGGAGATGATCAATACCTTCCTGAAGATAGTATTATTTCCAAGGTCAGGATTTGGCTTTGGGGGTGTTGTTTCACTTGTATTCAGAAGGTAAAGCTGAAGGATTACTGTTCAACATCAAGGCTATTGATTTATGATGTACTTGGATACTAGGAAATCCCAGGTTTATGGGTTAGACAAGGTAATTGAAAAACTAACCCTGAATACAGGTAGTCCCCGGGTTAAGAACACCAGGGTTACAGATGACCCATAGTTAAGTATGGAACCTACTGTAGCAAAATTCAAGTTAAATACAAAATGGATTGAGTTAATTACACAATACTACTTATACAGTTTTATACAATACTGTTCCAGCTTACATACAAATTCAACTTAAGGACAGACCTTGGGAACGGAACTCATTCTTAAACTGGGGACTACCCGTATAGCAATGGCAAGCTACATATCTATTACTGTTGCAAAAAGAAAAAGGAAAAAAGAATCCTACAAGAATGTGCCCATCTTGTCACTATAATTTCAGCATCACTGAAGGGAGCCTTTACTCAGGCTGTCTTGGCCACATCCTGTCTTGATTGTTGATTGTTGCTCTATTTGAAGCTACCCTTGGAAAATGTCCAAAGTATGGTAGTCAGACTGCATGCCTTACTAGAAGATCTCATTAATTGGCAGCTGGTTTCCAACCACAATTGATCTGATATTCTAAAGTACCATCTCTCTTGTTTAGGCAGTATTATCTACAGAAGAGGTCCTTCTGAAGATGCCTCCTCTAGCAGACCCTTGTTTATCTGGCATGCATGGGGCCGCCTTCTGTGCTACACCAAGACTTTGGAGTTGTTTTTGTTCCACACTGTCTTCAGAAGCGCAGACAACACAAATCTCTTTTGCCAGGCCTTTAAAGAGCAGTGGTTCTCTACAGTATATTTGTATTTTTATAGGTGCTACCTTGTGTCTGCATGTTATTTTAAGTCCTATGTTGGTTTGAATATTCTTTCTGAACAGAAAGGCAGCATATAAAAACATTTCTCTTCCTTTTAGGATAATCCATGGTTTGATATGCATTTCAACAAAGTTTACAGTTGGGAAGCTTACAGCTGTGCATCTAAATATGCCTTTGCAAGAACATTAAACAAGTTGAATGAGATGTACCTGCGGAAGGACTTGAAGATTGTGAACTTTGATTTTACCTATATTAAGGATGAAGCACTCTGGGCATCTAATAATGGGGATTGCTTTGTACTTATGAGAATATGCTTTTATGCATCCAATCTTTTGTGTCTGTCTCTGTGTCCCCTGCCAGGCTGACTGTTATAGTTACATCCAGACTTGAATAATACTACCAAGTAACATTTTAAAAAAGCTAGACATTCAGTACCGTATCAGGGTTTCTATTTTTCATAACATTTTTAAGCCAATTGTTCTCTCAGTCTTGATAATATGTTTAAGTACCAATTTCCTTAAATCACTGCTTTTCAGCATCACACAGCATGGTCAGGTTAACCGCAAGCTCTGCTGAACTCATTTGGCTTACTTTTCAGTAGCCATGTATACCTTTCTGCTGCAAAGCTAATCAATGAAAATCCATAGTGGTTGCATGCATGCTGTATTGGTACTGAGCCAACAAATTTGCTTCTTATTATCTCTAATTAGGATATTACTGTACTCAAAAGTCTGATAAGGGATGTGATCTCAAGATTTAGATAAACAGGAGATTCTTTCTCAGTGCTGTATTATTCACCTGAGTATTTATTTCTAGTATCTCATCTTACCTGATTCCTGGTCACAGAAACTCATGGCACAATATATTCATTAGTTGAAGTAACATAAAAGTCTTTTTCTTTCAGCAGAGTCCAGAGATCAGTATCTCTGGAATGCATCAATTTGTCAAAATAGGACAAAAGCAAATAATTATTTTTTACTTTGTATATAGAGATCTTGAAGATCTAACAACTAAATCTCAAAACATAAGGCAAATTGTTAACACTCTCAATATTTAATAGACATGAGAAGATACTGGTTGCTGTAAGAGAACCATAAGACTTTTTTTTAAAAGCAAAATCAGTTAGCCATCTATAAATGCTTATCATTCATTCTTAAAAAAACTTTATGTAATTGTTATTTTTCACATTTTTTTTTATTTTGTGCTGAAAATTATGTGGTTCCATATTTGTTCAATTTCAACTATTTCTCTATTGCTTTAGCCTTATTTGTATATTCACAGAAATACAGTGTATATCTTAAAATATCATTGATATGGAAATTGGATAATAAATTTAAATTATTGTCATGATACACTTGTTTGCATATTCAGGGTTCAATAGTTCAAATATTTTTAAGTTATTCAGTTAACAAAATCTATGAAAATGTAATTTTAAAATATTATCTTTTTAATTGACAGAGAAATTTTAAAAAATGAATATAAAAATACAAAATTCAATAAATGGTGGATTATGGAAAAATGCTCATGGTCTGTTACAGGCTTGTAGCCAGATTTCACGAGTATTTCCATGAACAACAGTATTTCCATGTAGCTGGCTATTATGTATTTCCATGTAGCTGGCTGTTATGATTTCTCTGATGGGATGGCACGTTTGTAAGACATGCCATGCCCAATTACTACAAAGCTAGTTCTCACAAATGTGAGAGTGTAAACAGCCATTCTTTGGGAAGCAAGGATTAGTTGTCTCAGCTGCAGATTTTAATTTGTTGATGCTGAGGTAAACAGTTTACCTCAGATGCTGAGGTAAACAGTTATTTCATTTTGATTTAGCACAAAATGGAAACAAAAGTGCTTCATTTTATAAAATTAAACCTTGTCACCCCACCATTTATATAGACTTAAGAATGTTGGAAGAATAAGCAGCATATAAAGTGTTATGCAGAAAATGAGCTTTGAATCTTTTAAAAAGTGTTGGTAAGGGAGTTGGTAGAGCACAAGTGTTACCATTTGGTTACTGAATAAAATAGTCTTCTTAAAGAGTAATATTCTCACATGGATACATCAGATTTCTATTAAGATTTTAAGATTATCTGTTTTTTTCTGATGCCATCTATTTAGCAAGAACTGATCCTGTACTTAGTTATCCTGTTAAGTGCCATGATGTGGTTTCAGGATGACTTGGAAAACTATTAAACAGAGATTCTTATATTAGTTTCGCCATGTTTGTGTCAACTCTCTGTTCATTTTGATTTAAATATTTCTAAGCTGCCCTGCATCCTTGCATACTAAGTCAGTATAGACAAATACACAATACACAGTCAAATAAAAACACCTAAGCTCGATTCCCACAAGAACAAGGCAAAGTACTCAGACAAAGTAATTCTTACAGGGTGATGCAGTGAAGGGTGAGACTGCTTTGGCTGATTGCTGCCTATGTTGCTCCTGTAAAAAAAAAAAAAATGAAATGATTGGATTAATTAGAGTTGGAGAGAGAGAGAGAGAGAGAGAGAGAGAGAGAGGTGCTTGCTGTGAATTAATGAGCACAGATCTAATTTCCATCTTTCTCCCTGGGGTTGTGTACCACCACTTTAATTGATGCTCCACCCACATCTCAAATCAACAGCTTCCTTCCCCCTTTCTTAGGGATGCATCCTTGTAGAACAGTGTTTCTCAGTCTGGGCAACTTTAAAATGTGTGACTTCAACTCTCGGACTCTCTGGAAATTCTGGGAGTTGGTCACACCTCTTGCCCACATTGAGAAACACTGCTCTGCCCCACAGTGCCAAAGTACTTTCCTCCTCAAGATGGGAGCAGAGTACGTTGGTACAAAAAGCACTGCCGTCACAATCTACACTTGGTGTGTCTCAGCAACAAGGCCAGTAAGTGCTATTGCCTGTACATAACATATGTACTCATAAAGTGCCTTTAATTCAGCGTTGACTCCTGGCAACTGCCTGGACAAGTCCCTTTAGTTTCCTGGCAAGATTTTTGGAAGTGTTTGGCCTTTGCCTTCTTCCTAGAGCTGAGAGAGAGTGACTGGCCCACGGCCACTGAACTCACGGTCTCCCAGTTTCTAGCCGGGTGCCTTAACCGCTACACCAAACTGTCTCTGATACACTCCTATAACTCATCTTAAAATTGCCAAGGTCAAGAGAGTAACCTAGTCCATTGTCCTGAGAGATCAGTGTTTTTCAAGCCTGACAACTTTTAAGATGTGTGGACTTCAAACCCAGAATTCATGCTGGCTGGAAATTCTGGAAATTGAAGTCATTCCCAGCAGGATGGCTGGGAGTTGAAGTCCACACATCTTAAAGTTGCCAAGTTTGAAAAACGCTGAAATAGAGTCTCTGGGTTTCAGTTTTACACTGGGCGACATTTGAAAACCTCTTAAGGAGCGGTGAGACTGACCATGGGGAAGGAGGAACCAATATGCCAGCTTGCCAGCAGAGGAATCAGAACAGAGCCCATTACAATAGTAACTTTCCCAAGGGCAGCAGGAGAGCAGTGGAGGGGGGGGGGAAGGACTTGAAGCAGAAGTTCAGTAACGCGCCCCCACCCTTCCAATCCACGCCTCCCTCTCAGCTGTCAAAGCCCCTTCCGGAATACTTCCGTGTCTGTCACGTGGCAACAGGAAGTTTGGCTAAGGATGGAGGAGGCGGGACTTTAGAGCCCGGGAGGGACCGGGGGTTTCGCAGGAGCAGCGGAGGCAGGACCGGCGACCGGTCTGGGCGCGGGGTAAGGAGGGCAGACGCGGGGAAGGTTTGCAAGGCCGGGGGGGGGAACGCGCTGGCTGCTTCGGCTGGCGTTTCTTCTTCCTTCCTAGATTCCTCTCTTCTTCTTCGGGCCGCCAGATCTGGGCTCCAAAACTCCGGGCGGCCGCTTGATGGAGCACGTCAAGGGGAAACGCTTGCTTGTGGCTGCCCTCTGGGGGCGGTCCGGGGTTTTGCACCCCGCGTCTGGCGGCCCTGGGCTTCCCTTACGGGATCCGTACGCACCGGGCCGCTGTCAAAATCCTGCTGGATTTCCCCATCTTTCACCTGGGAATCTCTTCTTCCTTGCCCGAAATTCTTCGTTCCAAGGAACGAGAAAGGAAAAGTGATCACTGCTTGCTTTTTTTCCAAAAGTGGAATGTAATTCATGAGTCAGTTTTCCGGGGAAGCAGTAGTGCCAAATGAGGTACACAGACATGCTTAAACTCGTTAATGAATTGCCCAGAGTTGCTGGGAGTTGGGCGGCCTATAAATTTAATAAATTATTATTATTAATTGCTCCATTTTTGGATTCTGACCATGTATCCAAATATAAATTGACTGATGGGTTGAATGCACACAATATAACCTCCCCTACTTAGTGGACCCTGATTAGACTGAGCATGTTGTGCAAATGCTGCTGCTAGATCTTTAATTGACCAAGTGGAGCACATTAACCATGTTGCTTCTAAATATACATTGGTATCAGGCCAGCCTCTGTGAAGGGTTTATTTCATCATCATCATCATCATCATCATGATGTATTAAACTTGTATGCTGCCTCACTCTCAATGAATGATTCCTTACAGAATTATTCCTTATTCCAAGATTTTAGGCCCAGGGTAGGTCATACAGTGTCAGGAGACACCAGTGTGCTCCCAGACACCCCTTTTGGTGCCACCAGTCTTTCTGTCCTACCTGGCTTTTAAAAAAGATTTTTTAACTTAGAAACAAAACAAAACAAAACTGGAAGCTGGCATGCTACGGTGCAAAGGATCAGCCTCTAATGTCATATTTACAGTATTTGCAGGAATGCTTTGGGGTCCAGAAAATTCCCAGTAGGACAGTATAGATTCTAGATATGTAGATAGGTAATATAGAACATTTCGTTTACATTTGAGTAAACTGGTCTTTTGTGCTTTCTATGACAGCTCTTTTGCAGTAGGCAGCCATTTTGTGACTGTGCCCACCAGGCTTAAAACAATTGCCTGCCGCTGCTTTTTGTGCCCATTAAATGAAAGTGCTGTATGCTACGTAGACTTATGGCTTGTGTGATTCAGCTCTCTTGTTTTAAATCTCTATATGCATTTTGCACCTTCCGTTTTTGTTCACATATAGCAACTTTTCATATTTCAAATGGACACATCGTTCTTTACTAATTTAGTGATTGATTCAATTCTGATTGCTCTGTTAGATGGTCTGGGATATGTGATATGTGTGAGTCTAATATATATCACATTTACTATTGCAGTACGTCAGTATTTATTTATTTATTTATATTTCAAATTTGGTCACTGCCCATATCACTAGAAAGTGACTCTGGGTGGTTTACAGTAAAAAACAAAAAATAAATATTAATTAAAATACAATAAAGATACAATAAAAACCAGATATGT